CAGCCAATAGAAACTCCCTGCTTTTTTGCTTTTGGGGAGAGATGGATTTGAGAGATCGTGTTCTCCCATCCTCTCAATTTTGTCAAATCAAATAAGCCTTCTTCTGTCTCCAAGCACCAGTGTCTCAATGTTTTGGACTACTAGTGCATGGACTAAGGTAACTTCCAAATATGCCTTAAAGATTGAAGGCACGTGGCCCTCGTTGGTTTGGCTCATTGGATAGAGTGTCAGCCTGTGGACTGAAGGGTCCCGGGTTCAATTTCCAGTCAAGAGCACATGCTCGGTTGTGGTCTCCATTCCCAGTAGGGGGTGTGCATGAGGCAGCCAATCAATGATTCTGATCATTGATGTTTCTATCTCCCTTCCTTTCTGAAATCAATAAATTTTTTTTTTAAAGATCAAAGATACATGAACCTGAATTTGGGGGAGGTGACTCAGTAACAGTCCCATGACTTCAAATACCATTTACACGCTGATGACCCCCCTTAACAAAAAAACTCCAGACATCTGCAACTCCCAAAAACTCCAGGCTCATGTATCTCCAACTGTCTGCTCAACATCTTGATGCCTAATGAACTGAATGTGTTGTAAAGCCCTATTTCTGATTTCCAGCCCTCCAAATCTCCCTTCCGTATAGCCCATTCCATGCTTCCAGTTGCTCAGTCCAAAAACCTTAGATACTCCTTGACTCCAGTGTCCCTCTCTCTCCCCTCTCCCTCTCATCCCTCAACTAATCCAGAAAACACTGACACCTCTACCTTTGATCTTTAAGGCATATTTGGAAATCACCTTAGTCCATGTACTATGATCTCTCCTGGATTTTGCAATCAATTCTTAACTGGTTTCTCCAATCCCACCCTTGCCTGCCAACAGTAAAGTTTCCCCAGTGCCGCCAGATTTTTAAAAAAGAGCCTAGTCATTTCATGTCTCCATTCAAAGCACCATCTGAGGCTTCCTTTCTCAGTAGAACCTCCGGTTTCCCCCCAAGGCCTCCCTCCTTTTTTACTTTCTTACTGCCCTCCCTCATCTGAACTCGCTCCACGGGCCCTCTGCCCCAGGGCCTTGGAACTGCCTGCTTCCTCGGGGTGGTTTACTTGCTTTCAAGTTTTGCTGCTTTTGTGGATGGCCCTACCTGTCTAAAAGAGCACTTCCTCCCTCCGCTCTAGTCCCCTTGCCCTGTTCTATTTTTCTACATAGCAATATCACCGGTAGATGTATTATAAACATATTTGTCTTATTGACTGTAGAGTTATTTACAGCCCTCACATAAATCCATCCCAAGACACAGGAATCCAAGACACTTGTCCCACGATGACTCAGCATGGACGTCGGCACACGGGGGCTTTCATTTCTGCAGTAAATGTGGCTTCACACACCGGTGTGCAGATGATCTGAAGTTCCCGATTCCCTAAGAAATTGCTGTATCTTCTCTATAGATTTCCAGGGTCCCCTATTCCCAGGGAGATCCCTCTCATTGGGCCAAGCCCCCTGCAGACTAGAATAATCCAATCCACACGGGAGTGAGTACCTTGAACTCCCCCTCCCCGCCAAGCGCTATGTAGGCGCTGCTGGAGGCAGGGCGTGTGGTGATGTAGCTCATTTTCTCCATTTCCTGCTGGTGAGGAATGCTATGCTTCCTCCCATCCCACAGCTGCCCTAGCGATGCCCAGATTCCTTCCCTGCCTTTTTGCTGGAACTTAGCAACTATAGCAATAAGCTCATTGAGAGTATATTCTCTCATCAGGAAATTTTCTTGAGGTGGGAACTGCTCACCAGCTGGGGTTACCATGGCTGCGTTTTCACTTTTCTTTGTATCAGGGGTTGGATGGCATGGGGCGCTCTGCCCATTTCACGGTTAATCACCAAGTATCCTCTCCCTCCCTCCCTCCCTTCACTTTCCCAGGGATCCCACCCCTTAGCATCCCACCCCTTAGCATTGGCACAAGCACTCAGGCCTTCATCCGAGGCAGCTTGTGCCCTCCTAGCTCTGCAAAGCAGCAAGCCACAGTATCCAGCCTATTATCCTGCTCTGCCACCTGTCTACCCGCCCGAAGCGAGCAGAGCTGTGAACCACTGCACGTGCTTTCTAACCTCAGTCTTCTTCCAACTGTCTAATTCAAGCTCCAGCCTCCAGTGGGACATGGGTGGCCAGTGTTCACAGTGGAGCCAGCCCACTGCAGCAGCCATCGCCCCCCCCCCCCCCGCCTTGGCTGCAGGGCACTGTGCACAGTTCCTCAAACAAGCACATCAGACCTGCTGGTCTTTGGAGTGTCACGTGACGGCCCACAAGCATCTTCCGATAGACCACCCTTCCCCTCGCGGAGGCCCATGGCCCACCTGAATGTCCCCAGCAGATGCCTCTTTCCCAAGGCCCATTTCCTCGGTCTCCTAGGTGGCTTGCCAAGTTTTGGTTTACAACCTGGGGCGTTCCCGGGTGGCATCTGAAACTGCTGCCCGGGACACAGAGGGTGAAGAAAGAGGGAGGCCACGCCAGCTTACTAGGAAGCAGGGTTTTGTTTTTTAATTGCAATTTACACTCCATATTATTTTGTATCAGTTTCAGGTGTACAGCGGGGCGGTTGGGTGGCAGGTTTAATAAGCAAAGAGAACACTTACAAGGCTTGTCCGGGGCAGACACAGGACAAGTCGACCTCTGCATCCACCCACCGGAATCCTAGGTCTGTCTGGAGCTTTAACTAGCTTCGGCCATCCGATGGTCTCCGCTACACACTGCTTTCTCAAGGCTCCATCACAAAGCCCCTCGGCGCCTCAGGTCTCGGCCCCGCCCCTCCCCATGGGAAGTCTCGCGAGAATCCCGCTCCGGACAGACGTGGAGACTTTTGGCCTTTCCCGGATGCCGTAGCTCAGAGTCGCAGTTCTTAGCTAAGTGCTTCCGGGTTGCATCCCGGGACCGCTTCAGTGGTGTTGCCAGTGGAACCAAACCCCGGAGGTATCAGTAAGTAGGAGTCCGAACCGAGCCTGAGCGCCTGCCGTTAGTCCCCTCCTTTGATTCCTTGAAGGCCCTGGTACAGCTCAGCAGGAGGGCCCAGGATGCCTGGGGCCCCAGCCCTATGACTCAGGGGCTCATGTCTAGTCTCCTCTCCCAGGATTTTGGTTCAGTTCAGCGATCTCATCTCCGGGTCTGAGAGATGAGGAGACCGAGTCTTAGAACACACACAGCCCCGAGGCGCGGTTTGCCAGGCCCCGTCCCCTCCCCCGGGTGGCACAGACCCTCTCTGTCCCCTGTCCAAGGTCCCGTACAGACACCGGCCTCAGGCACATCCCCCTCAGTCACCCTCTACTGGTCTCCCTGACTGTCTGCAGGCCTGGGCAGCATGACTTTATTCCGGTCGGGCCTCCTGGTGCTGACGACGCCGCTGGCCGCCCTGGCCCCTCGCCTGGCCCCTATCCTGACCTCTGCGGCCCGGTTCGTGAATGACACGCTCTATGTACACCTGCAGCCGGGCATGAGCCTGGAGGGCCCAGCTCAGCCCCTGTCCACCCCCGTGCAGGCCACATTTGAGGTTCTGGATTTCATCTCGTACTTCTATGCCGGCGCCAACGTGCACCCGCACCTGGACATCAGAATTCTGCTAACCAATATCCAAAGCAAGAGCGCCTTTCTCCCTCCCCTGGCCAGCTCCGTTCAGAACCTGGCCCACCCGCCGGAGGTGGTGCTGACCGACTTCCAGACCCTGGATGGAAGCCAGTACAATCCGGTTAAGCAACAGCTAGAGCGGTATGCCACCAGCTGTTACAGTTGTTGTCCAACACTTACTTCGGTGCTGCTGTACCCCGATTATGAGTCTGAAGAACTGCCTGTGGGGTTCACCTTACCCTCCACCATCAGGCCATCCTCCCCTGTGGCCAAATCTCCAAAGCAGCTGGTGCGTGGCTACCACCGCGGGGCTGTGGGTGGCACGTTTGACCGCCTGCACAATGCCCACAAGGTGCTGCTCAGTGTCTCCTGCATCCTGGCCCAGGAGCAGCTTGTGGTGGGAGTAGCAGACAAAGACCTTTTGAAGGGTGAGTGGGGAAAACACTGGAATAGGGTGGTGGAGGACCCCCAAAATGCAAAAAACAAAACAAACAAACAAAATATGTATATTTTTTTGTTTGTTTTATTGATTTCAGAGAGGAAGAGGGAGAGAGAGATAGAAACACCCATGATGAAAGAGATTCATGGATTGGCTGCCTCCTGCAAGTCCTGCACTGGGGATCGAGCCCACAATCTGGGCATGTGCCCTTGACCGGAGTTGAACCTGGGGCTTTTCATTTTGCAAGCCGATGCTCTATCCACTGAGCCAAACCGGAAACTCCTTGTAATGTGCCAGTGCCAAGGTTGAGAAAGGGTAGGGCCATCCGTTACTTTCTACCCTTCCCAAATGTTACACACAGTGCCAGGCACTCAGTTAGTTAGTGCTAAGGAAACTTTGTTAAACGAATAAAAGCAGCCTTCTCAATGTGTAGTCTGATCACCACTCATTCAGAGTCCCCCAAAACATGGAACCAAGGAGTCTGCATTTTTAACAAATCCTTGAATGCCTCTGTCTGGTTCTGCTGCCCACTGGCACTGCTAGTTCTCTGGACACATGCCAGCCCCAGCACTGACTATTGTGCTTGCCTGACGCCTGGCCCTCATAGTTTTCCCATCACAGACCATGTCTGAGTTTAGCCCTTTCTTCCTGCCACCTCTGGAGACAGGATGCTCAGGGACACTTTTCCCCAAACTGGCCCATACTCTTCCTCCCCAATAAAAAGATCTCACTGTTCTGGGTTCCTTCCTCAGGCAAGTTACTCCCCGAGCTGCTCCAATCCTACACAGAGCGTGTGGAACATCTGAGTGAGTTCCTGGTGGACATCAAGCCCTCCTTGGCTTTTGATATCGTCCCCCTGCTGAACCCCTATGGGCCTGCTGGATCTGACCCCTCCCTGGAGTTCCTGGTGGTCAGCGAGGAGACCTATCGTGGGGGGATGGCCGTCAACCGCTTCCGCCATGAGAAGGTAACCTGTGAGGGAGATTGGCAGAGGGAGGGGTTCAGGGTGGGGAGGGTGCTATGGAAAGTACCATCACCCCAGAGGAGGGAAGAGAGGGCCCAAGGTGGTAAAAAGAGGCAAGGAGGAACTGGTTCCCAGGTTGTCTTCTGGGACAAACTCTACCTCTGGAGTAAGTAGGGGAGGGTAAGGGGGCAAGTTGGTGTCAGTGTTTGCCCTTCCTCTCACCCTTCTTTCCCTCTCCTCACCCCTCCTCCTTTACTTCAGGACCTGAAGGAGCTTACCTTGTACCAGATCCAGCTATTGCATGACCCAAGCCACAGGGAGAATGAAGAGGACAAAATCAGCTCCTCCAGCTCCCGCCAGCGAATGCTGGGAAACCTGCTTCGGCCTCCATATGTAAGCATGTCTTTCCTTCCTCCCACCTTCTTGGATAGGCTGGAAATGCTAGAAGGTGGAGACTGGAGGATACAACCCAAACATGAGCCTGAGGACCCTAGTAACTGGGGTTCCTTTTATCTACCCCCAGGTGAGGTCAGGGCTCCCTGCTGGTCTCTACGTGATCGGGCTGACAGGCATAAGTGGCTCTGGGAAGAGCGCAGTAGCTCAGCGGCTGAAGGGCCTGGGAGCGTATGTCATCGATTGTGACCAGCTGGGCCATCGGGCCTACGCGCCGGCTGGTCCTGCCTACCAGCCCGTGGTGCAAGCCTTTGGGACAGGTAATGACTGCCGGGGGCTGGAGGAGGCCTGAAGTGAGGAGATGGCCTGGTCTCTTCGCCCAATCCTCTGTCTCTGTCATCTAGATATTCTCCACAAAGATGGCATTATCAACAGGAAGGTCCTGGGCAGCCGGGTTTTTGGAAACAAGGTAAATACACGCCTCTCCAAAGGTCCTCAGCTGCAATAGACCCAGGGGTTGGGACCCAATGGACTTCTCTGGACTGGCTCCATCTTCAAGGGGAGTAACCACTGCCCACTCCCTCTACCTGCTTCTCAGAAGCACCTGAAGAAGCTCACGGACATTATGTGGCCGGTTATCGCAAAGCTGGCCCGAGAGGAGATGGATCGGGCTGTGGCTGCGGGTGAGTCAGAGAGATGCTGGGAGCGGCTGAGGGGCACAGTGAGGCAGATCCTTTCCCGGGGAGTCTCCTACTCCAAGCTAGACCACCCACGCTCTCGGGGACCATGTTTCGTTGACTGTCTGACTGGTAGCAAGTGACAGGGTATTGCTGATCGTGACTGGAGTCTCCCTACAGGAAAGCAGGTGTGCGTGATTGAAGCTGCCGTGCTTCTTGAAGCCGGCTGGCAGAGCATGGTGCATGAGGTGTGGACCATTGTCGTCCCTGAGACTGAGGTATCTGGAGCCCACCTGTCACCCCATCTCCACTGCAGACTGCTTTGAGCCAGTTGGCTGACAAATGTCATGTCTGTACCTAGGCTGTACGACGAATTATGGAGAGGGATGGCCTGAGTGAAGCAGCAGCTCAAAGCCGGCTTCAGAGCCAGATGAGTGGACAGCAGCTTGTGGACCAGAGCCACGTGGTGCTAAGCACGTTATGGGAGCCGCATGTCACCCAGCTCCAGGTTGATGCCCAGGGAAAAGTCGGGTTGTTGGGAGGGATTCTACAGTGAATGCCCACCTGACTGTCTTTTCCTCACAACATTCTGGTTGCCCAAAGGTGGAGAAAGCCTGGGCCCTCCTGCAGAAGCGCATCGATGCCATCCAGCCATTCTGATAATGAGTTTTCTGTGGGGCCAGATTGGCCTCTGGAGCTGACAGGAGATCATCCAGTGGTGAGGAGGGATGGGGGCTTCCATGCTCACCCTAGCTTTGGCCTAGAGGGCTCTGAGCTAAGCTGGGTGGGGCAGGGCCTGGTGGACAAAGGAAGCCTATCCAGCTTGCAGGTGTTTGACCAACATTGAGGATGTGGCCCATGGGGCAACAGGCCCCTCTGGCATTCCAGCCCCATTCTTGCCTACAGGTGTCTGCACCTAAGGCTAGTAGGGGAGAAAGGGGGGAAAGGGCAAACAATGAAACTTGTAACAGAATTAAAGGTTGATGTTTCCAGGTGCTGTCTATATGGTGTCTGCTTCCTGCTCCAATGCCTCTAGGTAACTTTGGGATCCTTGAGCCACAGGGGCAGGACTCAGGCCTGAGCTGGAAGCCAGGAGTATAGTGGCTAAGAGCATGGCCTTTGGAGCTAACCAGACTGAAGCCCTGTCACTGAGTAGCTGTGTGCATTTGGACAAGTTACAAACTTTCTAGGTTCCTCAGTTTCCTTGTCTGTGAAGTAGCATAACTTGGCCAATAGGCTCTTTGGAAGTATTGATTCCACAAGTACCCAACTGGATCCTAAGGTTGATGTTGGAGGAGCATTCTTCAACAAGCCAGGCGGGCCTCCGCCATCACAAAGCCCGCAGCCTGGTGGAGTTGGACGAGGTGGCCGGACTGATTGGTGGGCCAGGGACGCCTGGGCCTGGCAGTATGCCTGTGTGTGCACAGCTGTCTGCAGACATTATTGGAACAGCCTTTGGAAGGGACCCCATTTCACAGAATGTGCTCCCAGCCGCCTGCCCCAAGGGAGGGAGACCAACAGGGTGACCTCCCCTAAGCAACCTGTATCAGCCCAACAGCCAGCTCAGCCCACTCGGCGGGCTGGCGGTCCCTGGCTGCGCACGCACGTCACCCTCGCCCCGCCCCTTTCTCCTTGGCCGCGGATTGGCTGGTTTGGGTCACGTGAGCATGCCTCGCTTTTCCGGGCGGCTGGTTTCCGGTGCGGTGGGTCGGAGATGACGGAACCCGGCGCTTCTCTGGAGGACCCCTGGGTCAAGGCAAGCCCCGCGGGCGAGCACGCCGTGGAGGGGAGCGCGGGGCGGGCGCGTGCTTCGGGAGTCCGGAAGATGAGGGCGGTCACTCCGGTGCCCAGAGTTCCCCTGCTTCCGCCTCCGGGCCGGGGTCCAGAGAAGGACAGCCCACCCCGCGCGTGCTGAGGCGGGAGGTGACTGAGGCGTGTGTGCGGAGTGTGCGGGGACGGGTTTGGGGCTGTGGGGTTGGGAGGAGGTGTTGGGCAGGCGGGGTCACGCCGAGGGGCGGCGCCCCCACGACCTAGCCGGTCTTGGCTCTCGGGGAAATCCTTCCGTTTCTTGCGCGCCCCGGTTTGTGTCCGTCCGTCCTTCCTTCCATTGCCTGCGCGCGTGTGTCGGTCCTTCAATTGCCTGCTCACGTGTGTGTCGGTCCTTCAATTGCCTGCGCACGTGCGTGCGGGTGCTTCCGTTGCCTGCGCAGCCGCCTGAGTGCATACGATTGGATGCGCAGAGTGAATGGAAGAGGCGTCCTCCGCGGACGGAGGTCTGATGAGCTTTCCTCCCTTGCTGGGTGCCGCAGGTGGAGTATGCCTACAGCGACAACAGCCTGGACCCCGGTGAGTGCCTCCCCACCGGCTTCAGCTCCGGAGTGACACTCCCACTTCAGCCTGTAGATTCGCTTGGCCTTGGCAGCCACCGCTGACCGCAGTCCGCTGTCTCTGAGCCTGAAACAGTGGGGGAGGAGCGGGAGGACAGGGCAGGAGGCATGGGAGGGCGAGCCTAGTTCCCTCCGCTCTGGAACAGGGAAGTGAGGGGAATAGTGACAGCTGGCCTCTCCCCCTCTTCGGGCCCAGGTGGTCCTTTGTGAGCCAGCGGTACCATTGCAGCCAGTGGAGCAGTTCAGACCCCGGGGACAGGAGCATCACAGCGTGGCTGGCCCAGTATGGCTAGCTTTTGGTTTAAGGGGAGAGGTCAGCATTTAAGGATCAGGGAGCCATTGAGCCCACAGGTGTCTGAGGGCCTAGCAGTGTTCCCCTCACCCTCCACCTTACCTCTTAGTGATTGGGGCCTTTCTTTTCCAGGGCTTCTTATAGAAAGCTCCCGCAAGGGGAGCGTAGTGTCCAGAGCTAATAGCATCGGTTCTACCAGTGCCTCTTCCGTCCCCAACACAGGTAGGCAGCCATATCCCCCACGTCGCAGGGCTCAGATACGCCATCGTTTTAGTATCTCTCTCAGGACGCTCCAGCCATCCACGTGGGGTGCTAGAGCCCTAGTGCTAGGCACAGGGTCTCCCCATCTTTTATCTCATCCAGAATATTAAGATCCCGTGTCCATCTGCTACCTGGGCACTACGTTCTTTTTCCCAGTTAGGGAAAGATGGATTCGCTGGGTCTCACTGGGCCTCAGAATGATCTCTCTCTGCCCCCAATTCTGAGTGCAGATGACGAGGACAGTGATTACCACCAGGAGTCCTACAAGGAGTCCTACAAGGACCGGCGCCGGCGAGCACACACACAAGCTGAGCAGAAGAGGAGGGATGCTATCAAGGTGATTGGGGAGGCCTCGGCCAGCACAGGGAGGTCCTGCATTTCAGATTCATTGTGCCCTGACCCCATTAGACAGGCCCAAGCGACCTGTGTGCAGCTAATCTAGTTCCTGGACGGGAACGCTCCCTCCTTCCAGCCCCTTACCCCTTTTAGGTTGTGAGGACGGGACTTAGTGCCATGGAAGAAAAATTTTGTGCCAGTTTGTCTTAGCCCCTCGGAGTTAAGGAATCTATTTTCCTTCGCTCTCTCCACAGAGAGGTTATGACGACCTTCAGACCATCGTCCCCACCTGCCAGCAGCAGGACTTCTCCATTGGCTCCCAGAAGCTCAGCAAAGCCATCGTCCTGCAGAAGAGTATGGCAGGGAGGGCACTGGAGGGTTGGAGCAAAGGGGCTCTGGGCAGGCTAGCCTCATACCCACTGTGGCCTGGCCCTCTGAGTGGTTGTAACGGGAGACTTGGGGAATGGGGAAAAGGGAAATGAGATCAGCCTTGTCCTCTGGCTGAGATTTCCTCTGTGCCCACCACCTCTTTCCACCTCCACCCCCAGCTATTGACTACATCCAGTTTTTGCACAAGGAGAAGAAAAAGCAGGAGGAGGAGGTGTCCACACTACGAAAGGACGTCATGGCCCTAAAGATCATGAAAGTGTAAGGGTGCCCAACTGTGGGAACCAGGGCTTCTGAGGGGACTGGGGCCAACTTCAGTTCACACTCTTATCTTTTGTTCAAAGGCCACATCAGATCATATTCTCACTCCCTCCGGTGGCCACTTAGAGGTGCCAGATTATTATGATCTCTGAACGAATCATAATCTGGCCACTCAATGTGTGTGTGTGTGTGTGTGTGTGTGTGTGTGTGTGTGTGTGAATTCGTGCGTGGGTGGAGTCCGGCCAGCCTGGCCAAGGAGAAGGGACATGGGCGGTTGGCTGGCCTGCCTGGTCAAACTCCTGGTCAAGGGGACAATTTGTATATTGGCCTTTTATTATATAGGACAGTGATCTGTAAACTGCGACTTGCGAATCACATGAGGCTCTTTGGCCCCTTGAGTTTTTAGCAAAGGCCAGCTTAGGAGTATCCTAAATAATAACAATGTACCTACCTATATAGTTTAAGTTTTAAAAATTTGGCTCTCAAAAGAAATTTCAATCCGTTATACTGTTGATATTTGGCTCTGTTGACTAATGAGTTTGCCTGATATAAAATAGACACTGAGAGGTAGATTATCCATTCAGAGATCATCATAATACGGCTACTCAGTGCAGTCTGTTTTTAACATAAAAGCAGTATCTAGCCTATGAATACATCCCCAAAGCTCTCTAGAATCTTCTTGAATGGGGGAGGTATTGGGGTCACCCTATTACTCCTGGCCTGGTGGAGCTGCTGTAGCACCTTACCCCTGGCTGCTTGCTTTTAGGAACTACGAACAGATTGTGAAGGCACACCAGGACAACCCCCACGAGGGGGAAGATCAGGTTTCTGACCAGGTCAAGTTCAATGTGTTTCAAGGCATCATGGACTCGCTGTTCCAGTCCTTCAATGCTTCCATCTCCATGGCCAGCTTCCAGGAGCTGTCGGCCTGTGTGTTCAGCTGGATTGAGGAGCACTGTAAGCCTCAGGTACAGGCAGCAGCAGTCACAGGGCCTGGGGTCTTCTCCCACCTTTAGGCAAAGTGACCCAAGCCATTTTCAAAAAGCAGCTAGATTTTCGGTTTCTTCAGGGTGTTTCTGCAGCTTTCAGTACGTTCCCCCCTTTGCTTTCTAAAGTTGTGTTACAGTGTCGTTGGTCAAATATGATCTGAGCACTTATCCTTGTAAGGCCAAGCTCTGCCTTGGTTTACTCCATGTTGTCACCTTGGCCACTCGGCTGCCCAGCATGTAAGTTCTGTCTCTTGAAGCAGAATTACGTGGGGGTTTTGGAAAGATCTCTAGCCCCAACCCCAGGCCTACTAAGGTAGCTTTTCCTGGAGTTTACTATTTGTAATGGTGTGGTGTGTTAATGGTATTAAACTGAGTCTTTTGCTTTTGAGGCCTAGTTGCTTCTGCTGGGGCTTAAGCTTTTTTATTATGAGACACTTGAAACATCAAGAGAATTTACATTGGATATTCATACGTCACCCAAATTCTATTAACATCTTCCGTATTATCACAGAGCTGTCACGTTGGGGGCAGCAAAGTGAACTGCAGACATCGGTGCTCCCAGGGGCTTTCTTTCCCCCACTAGAAGAGTGCACTGGTCAGGTGTTCCAGACAGCTCCGCCCTCACCTGGGCATCATCTCTCTTGCTCTGCTGCCCTCACAGACCCTACGGGAGATCGTGATCGGCGTCCTGCACCAGCTGAAGAACCAGCTTTACTGACCTGCAGAACAGCCAACGGAGGTCTCCAGTCTCCTACTTGGCCACTGGCTTGTGAGATTGGACTGTGACACCGTGCACCAGTCAGCTGGGCTCTCATGTTTCATCCCCTAGGCCCCTTGTCCTCAGAGGGACTGGGGTGTTTGTGAAAGCTTCTCCTTAATTTATTATATTGACTATAGAGCTCGAACCTTGTAATATAAGGTTCCCTCCATAAAAGTCCTCAGAATGGGGGTCTGCTCTGGACACCCCCCCTTCTGAAGCCTCAGATTTCAGCACATGGTCTACATATACTTAGAAACTACTGTTTGCCTGTTTCGGTATTTTGGGTGACAACTGGACCACATTTGGCCATTTTTGCAGTGGTCGCTCGAGGGGAAAGCAGGAGAAAATGCCACAAGGCATTCCGTAAATTCCACAGCTACGAAGGGTGAAAGGTGGCTCATGCCCAGGCTAGAGCTGCCTGTCGGCCTAAGGTAAAGCCACGGCTTTCTGGCTGGCTCAGGCTCGGCTGCCAGGGGGAAGCAGCCTCCCACCTACTCCTGCCCTCTTGTCTCCCCCCCACAAGCATTGGCGCTGCACAGCAGTCAAATGTGACAAAAGTTTTTATTTTTATAAATACCAACAAAACAGTTATGCTAAAGTTACAATTTTAAAAAATTAGCTGGGCCTCAAAGCACTGCAGCTTTGTCAGGTGTATCTGGGGCTCTGCCATCTCTCATGTGCTGCAGACATTTCTCCCTGGACGGAGGTGGTGAAGGCTGAGGTATATGGAAGCCAAGAGAGTGTAGGGTGCAGCCCTGGACTCCTTGAATGCTTTGTATAATAGCCTCTATCTTTGTCCCCCATCCTCTCCCTTCCCCAGATTTAATATCTGGGGGGTTTGATTATCCAGAGGAAATTAAATATTTTTATATCAAATTATATTACAATAAATATTGCCAAATGCTTTAGTTTTGTTCCAAGTCTAAGTGTTAAGCACAAGCACTTGAAATTACATTCTAGGCCATGTAATGAGTACCACCCACTCTGGGTGACCAGCACTCCTCCTTCCCCTCCCGCTCTAATCCTCTGGTTTACGCCCCTCTCCCAACTGCCCCACTCCAAGGTTGAAATCGGTAGCAACAATAAAAAAGCTGGCAGCCAGTCTGGGGCTTTGTCCCCATAACCAGTCCTACCACAGGGGCTCAGGGGTCCGGGAGCTTGACATTGTAATCTTCATCGGTCTCTATCCCAACCTCCTCCTGTGGGGCAATGAGACGGTGAATGAGACCTCTGGGTGGAACCCCAGGGGAGCAGGGAAGAGAAAGAGAACCACTTACAAAGAACTGCTTCTTACTCTTGGGGTATCCTTCAAGGATCGCATCACACAGCTCTGTTGCCTGGCAAGAAACAAACCCCCCTTTGCGGATGGGCAGTACTTGGCACTGCCTAACCGATCCATGACGGGGCAGCAGTTCCTGGGGGGTGCTACTTTGCAGGGCCTGCCTTGGAATTCTGCACTTACCATCCTCTTGCGCTTCCTCCACTCCTTGCAGTACCTCTGCTTCTCTCTGTGCACCTAGGCAGGGGGAACGGTCTAAGCCCTTAGCCCCACGGCAGGGCAGCCACTGGTCAACTCTTGTGCTGGCTTCTCTGCACAGGCTGCCCTCCCTCCCAGCTCACCTGTTCTTTCTCTTCCGGGGTCACATGGTTGGTGGCTGCTTTGATGTTCTTCAGTCTCTCTGTGTAGCCAGCACATTCCTTCTTTAACTCCTGGATCTCTTTCTGCATCTCCGGTGTGGTCAGGGCACTAGATAACTCCTTCAGCTCTGAAACCACACCTCCCTGAGACCACTTGCTGTCCCCCACGGAGGGGTTCTCTTCCAGTGGGTACTCCCTGAGGTGGTAAGCCAGGCCTCCATTGCTCTGTGTTTTATACCCAGGGTCCAGGATGGGCCCCTTATTCTAGAAATGTCCAGGAAGCTGTAGCCAGTTAGAGCAGCAGCAATAAAGGGAAGTGTGGGAACATATACTGAAAATCATAGTAAGGAAAGCAGATACATGCCCTGCCCATTTGTATTTCAAAAGCCATCAGCTGTCATGCATTTCTCTTAATGGAAATGCTATGGCAGCCCAGCAAAGGGATCCTCGCTGCAGTGAGAATAATTCAGTCAACACCCATTTCCTGAGTAATTCCTGACCTCTGGACAGACCCTGATCTGGCTAGGGGCACCCTCCAGAGCAGCCCATTCCTACCAGCTTCCATTTGGCGGCAGCTCTGCTGCAAGCTCTGCACCTTGGCAGTGAGGGTCACGATTTTGGCATCCAAGCTTTGGAGGTCAGCATCATTCACTGTGTCAAACTGGTCCTGCCAAAGACAAGAACAAAGGTGGCCTGGTGTGTCACACAGGATGGAAACCCACGTCTAACTGGCAGCATTCACATACACTTAAGAACCTGTGGGCACAGCTACAGTGGTTGCACAGGTTCAAGCCTTGGACCGATGAGAGGGCACAGCCCTCTCGTGGCCATGCGCAAGTCCCAGCTTGGAGGGCAGAGTCCTCCCTGCACAATGATAGCCAACAGCTGTGGGTGTGAGCTTCAACCTGTGTCTGAGCACGTGGCCCCAAGTAAACAAAGCTTGATCAGGTGCATGTAATGGAGTAGGATCGAGACCCATGAGAATGTTGTAAACATCTTGACCAGGCCCGTACTTTGCCTCGTGGCATCAGCTATAAAATAAAGACACGGCTTGTGGGCCTTGGCACTGCTGGGTCCCCGTCAGGGAAACAGAGTCCCAGCTTTCATTCTCTTGTCTGTCTTTCCTAATTTTTCACCCCTCCACTCGGGGCCACTGAACCTGGCTGAGCTGGCGCGGCGCAGTAAGGCATCCAAGGCTGAGTGTGCCATGGCCATGCCAGCTCCCACAAGAACCTTCCAAAGGACCTTCCACAATAGCAGGAGTGTATTTTGAGAGAGCATTCCGGTTAGTGCTGGGTCCAACAACAATGCATCAAAGTTGAAACCTAATGCCTGTCCTCCAGGGGCTGCTAGGTTGTTAGGAAACTGAATAGGACAAATACCTTTCAGCTTAGTGGTCAAATCTCACTCGGCTGAAGGAGGAAAGGAACATTCTTCTCAAAGTGATGACGACTAAATGAGGGCTTCCACAGGAAGAGTGGACAGGCAGAGGCATGGTGGGAGGGATTTGGCTAAGGGACTAGTAGTAAAGTCTGAGGAGCCCCTCCTGTGAGACACGAGCTGCTAGAAAAAGGGCTGTGTTGGGGCTCAGTGGGGGTCTCATCAGTTGGTGAGGGGAGTGGGTTAGAAAGGATGTGAATCCAGCCTGGGCAGCCTGGACTCTCTAAGGCAGTGTTAAACCTTTACAACAAGAGGCAGCAAACTACAGCCTGTTAGCCAAATCCTGCATGTTTTTTTAAAAACAAAAATATATTGAAGCAGCCACTCATTACTATTGCCTATGGATGATGCTTTTGCGCTACACTGGTGCACTGAGTAGTCAACAGCTGTGGCAAGAGGCCACCTGGCCTGCAGAGCATAACAACTGTCTGGCCCTTTACAGAAAAAACAAAAACAAAACAAAAAAACCTTTCATCTTCCTTAGGGGACCTTCAACAGAGTAGTAACAATGAAACCTGTAGGGTGCTAAGTAAAGGAAGATAAATGAGAAATGGGGTCTGTCTTAGGACAGTTTAGTGGGGAGACAAGTGAAAAGACAATTATACTGCAGTATGCCTCCAGAGGTAGGCACCTCAGACTTTACTACTAGTCCCTTAGCCAAATCCCTCCCAGGAGGCCATGAGCTCTGGCTGCAGTGTTTGAGGGGACCAGGAGATGTTAGGATATTGCAACAGATGAGGAGCACCTGAACTAGAGCAGTGATGGCAAGTGGATTCAAGAAGGGGAAATCAGCTGGACTTGATGGCTGGGAGCCACCTGAGATAAGGGAGGTAAGAATGAGCCCCTCGCCGAAACCGGTTTGGCTCAGTGGATAGAGCGTTGGCTTGGGGACTGAAGGGTCCTGGGTTCGATTCCGGTCAAGGGCATGTACCTTGGTTGCAGGCACATCCCCAGTAGGGGGTGTGCAAGAGGCAGCTGATCGATGACTCTCTCGTCAATGTTTCTAACTCGCTCTCTCCCTTTCTGTACAAAATCAATATAATATATTTTTTTAAAAAAATGAGCCCCTCCTCTCTGGCTTGGGGGGAAGACTGATTCCATTAAGAAAGAATGTGCCCTAGCTGATATGGCTCAGTGGATAAAGCCTCAGCCTGGACTGAAAGGTCACAGGTTTGATTCCAGTCAAGGGCACATGCCCAAGTTGCAGACTTGATCCTCAGAAGGGGCATGCAGAAGCAGCCAGCCGATCAATGATTCTCTCTCATCATTAATCTTCTGGGTTTTGTTTTGTTTTTTTTCTCTCTCTCTGCCTTCTTCCCTGAAATCAAGAAAAGAAAAAAGAAAAGAAAAAAAGCCAGTAGAGGAGAGCTGTCGCATCCTACTGTAGCCATAATGATTCTGAAAGACATCCATTTGGAGGTCTGGGCTGGAGATACAAAATTAATGTGTTTAGGAAGGCAGGTGGAGACAGAAGGAAAATAAATAAGGTGGTCTAATCTAGATGATTGGGAGTAAGAACTTCCAAGCATAAATGGATCTTGGATTTTCGGTCATCTATCATATTTTATGAAGTTTGGATCATAGCAAGGGTTTAAAGGATGGATGGGGCCCTTTTAATGGCATAAGACAGCTGAGTTTCATGGATTGCCTCAGTTCTCCCAAAGAAAGTTCATACTTCGGCTGATTCCTCTAAATTAGGCTTGCACGGGGCAGGCGCGTGGGGCGGGGGGAGGCGGCAATTTGCGGAGACTTCCCTCACCTGGTCCGCGAAATAAATTTTCTGCTTGCCGTACATCTTCTCTTTGATCTTGCCTTGTTGGGCCAGCTGCTCCAGCGCCTTCACCACGGCCTGGCGGAGGCGAGAGCGGAGCAATCAGTGGCTTCGGGCCGGGCGGCCGGCCTCAGGAAGCCCAGGCGGCAGGACCCCAGGCCGGCGTGAGGGGCGCCCAGGGGGGAATCCCGGGCGGGTCCTCACCGCTTTGCCCAGCCCGTGCTCCCGCTGCAGGTTCCCAAACACATCCTGGGCGCTGTAGGGCCGGTTCTGCTCCTGCAGGTACTTCAGGAGGATCCCGGGGGCTGCGGGGGGAGCAAACACGGGGAGGGTCACTCAGCCGACCCCTGACCCGCTCCCCTCCGGTCTCCCCGGCTCCGAGGCCCGCGTACCTCCAGTCGCCGCTTCAGCCCTGCCTTTACTCATGGCCTTTCCCGCCGCCAAACTCCGAAAGCCGGACGTTACAGTTGCTCCGGGCAACGGCTTCTTCCGGCGGCGGGAGGGGCGGGCCTCGTACGGTGATTGGCGGAAGAGGACGCCTTCTCGCGAGGAGCGGAGCGGCCCTTCCGGGCGCCCTAGGGGCGGTCTGCCCGGAGCGGGGACGCCGCGCGCCGCCGCGGCCTGGGGGTCTCCGCGGAGGCGGCGGGGGCACGCGCCCCCCCTCCTCTCACTCCCCCTCGGGACGGAAGCCGCGGTAAAGCTCCCTTGTTTGTGACCCAGCCCCCACGGCGGCTGAGCAGGGCCGAAGGTTCCAGCGGGAATCCGCAGGGTCAACTCCCACTGGGCCATGGGCTCGCTCAAGGTCACTGCGCCGTTCCGGTCAGGGCCACGTCCTGTCCCCCGGCCCGAGGCCCTCTGCCGTTGGGCTTACCGTTTGTAGTGTAGGAACCAGGGCTACTTGCAGAAGGGCGATCGCAGACTTAGTAATTACTGTGACCTTTGCTTGCTGGTTACCGAGCCCCGCACATAGGGGGCGCTCAGTTCCTGCTGTGGTTTGAAGGAAAGACAGGGAGGGCTGCGAGGGAGCTGTTCAACCGAAAAGCTTTTAGAAAAGTTTCCTGTTGGCCGAGTCAATTTCATGGCAACACCTGGCAGGTACTTTCCACTCCTGCCCACAGTGGCCAACGGGACAAAGCTTAAAAATAAGTATTTCTAGTTTCTGAGGTCAGGTGAAGGCCAAAAGAGCAGCTGTCCCTGCAGCTCAATCCAGATGGGGGACGTGGTGGTACTTTTTAAAGCCTTCTGTTACCTAAACTCTCATTAGCCTTTGAAATACACTTGACTTCACACGTTTAGGGAGAAGTATCAAGGATTGGATGCCCGGGCCAGTGTGGCTGTTGGTTGGAGAGTCACTGGGCACCGAAAGGTTGCTGGTTCTGTTCTAATCAGGGCACATAGATTGTGGGTTTGATGTATCGTGGGAGTCTGTACAGGAGGCAACCAATGTTTCATACATCGATGTTTTTCTTTCCCTCTCTCTGAAATAAGTAAAAGCATCATCAGGTGAGGATTAAAAATTAAAAAAAAAAAGAATTAAAAATGATGGAACTGCAGGCTAGATGGTGATCAAGAGTGTCAGAGCTCCCCTGGGGAGGGGACAGTGGCCTCACACCATGGTGATTTTCTGACCATCACGGAGGAAAGCCCAATAGGCAAATGGGTTCCTCACACCTGGACTTCCTCTTCTGAGGCTCTCCCCTCTCTAATCACATCCCAGATTAACAAGAGGCCCATTCATTAGTCTCTTAAATATTGTTCTCATAGAAGATTTATTCCCCAGCACCCCTCCGACCCCTACCCCCACCCCAATTCACAGTGGAGGACTAAGGAGATTCAGAGCAGGATCCCCAGGTACACGAAACACCTTCCAAAGATTTTGCTCTCCTTCCTTCCCTCCTTGCTAACTCCCAAGCATGGAGCTACACACACTCATGCAAACACACAAAATCCCACTCCTTTCCCACACCTCCCATTTTTTTTTCCACACCAGAGATCACCTATAAGACATCTGGGCTCTGAGAGGAGATAAGGTGCCCAAAATATCTGAGAACCCCAAGTGGAGAAATGCCATTACCCCTAACATTCACACAAAGAGGCATCCAGTTCTCCCTTCTCACTGGTAATGCTTTTCTCGTCCTGGCCTCTACCTTTCACCACCCTAGAGCACACGTGTTAGCACACTCCCACCTGTAGCACATGACAATGGGCTCTGTCCAGCATGCCCCTCCCAGGTGCGGAGGTGTTGGGGGAGTGGTCCCTGAGGATCAGCAAAGGGTTGATGCAGAGGGAAAGAGGATGCGAGAGTTTGGCCTGAGCTCTGGAGAAGCAGAGAGAGGGTGTAAGCTGACACAGGTTTAGAACTAATCAGTTTTTGTTTCACATGATTTTACTAGGGACAGCCTAACACAGTGGTTGGCAAACCGCAGCTCTCAAGCCACATGCGGCTCTTTGGCCCCTTGAGTGTGGCTCTTCCACAAAATACCACATGCGGGGGCGAACCTTCGTGGCCCATGCACAGAAGTCAGTTTTTGGCCTGGGCGAGTCTATTTTGAAGAAGTGGCATTAGAACACGCAAGGGGCCAAAGAGCCACATGTGGCTCGCAAACCGCGGTTTGCCAACCACTGGTCTAACAGATACCCCTTAGAGGGGCCGCTGCTCATTACAGACACATTCTTGCTAATTGGGCTCATCCTTAAAAGAGGTCCACCAAGTTGGGAAGCAGTTCCATAGAAAAAGTTTTAAAGGAGCTGAACAGAGTAAGAATAGCTGGTGAAGGAAGAGCTGGTGGCTTCTGGGATGAATGCCACTGAGCCATTTGTAAAGTGCTACTCTGGCATCCCCCGTGGAATACTGCTTCTCCAGAGGAGGAGCAAAGGAAGGAACAGGAGCATGGAAATGGGTATGGTCTGGTATTGCTCGTTGCTCAGGCTGATGGTCAAATAGAGCCAGGGGTTAGCAGCACCAAAGACTACCAGGCAGCTCCAGCAGATTCAGGAGACCACAGACACAGAGGCACTCACCCTTCCAGCCAGCCGACCGACCCCACGGCCCGCGGTCAAGCAGACGAGGCCCGCCTCCGCACCACGTTCACATTGCTTACATTCACAAGCACGGTTGTGGGGCACTGGGGTGAGGCCTCAGAAATGAGGATGGGCGGTGGCAGAGGGAACAGGCCTGCTCTGCAGAACCAAAGGAGAAGCTTGCTTAGAAACAGGCCAATCATGGCAAAGAGGACAGCGTCATTCCTCCAGCTGCTGCCTGACTGGGGTCTCTAGAGGGGGATGAAGGAGGAGGGAGAGGAGGGGCTCTTCTACCAAGGAGGACTCCGGAGCACCCATACCTAGAAGCAAACAGCAGCGCCCCCTCCAGGGGAACCAATACCCCTGACTACTTTGTTCCCCGGAAGTACCACCTGAAGCATCCTCTCACGTCAGTGGCCGAGCTCAGAAATGTGTGTCCAGCTGGCAGCGGGGAAGTGAGTATCCTCTCTCAACAGGCCTCTGAGCATCCGCAAGGCCACCAGGCATACAAGGACAAGTCAGGGGATGGGGCCTGGGTTCTTCCCTTGCCCCTTCACCTTTAGTGGGATGAGGAGAAAAAAAACCTAAGCCACAGTGACCCCCCCCAAAAAAGGAGTCTCTGCTTCAGTGGCTTCTGGAATTGGCAGGGTCCAGCTGACTCAGCTCTGATTGGTCCAGAAGTTCAAAGTCATCCCCCTCAGCATCAGTGTCCAGGTCTGAGCTGGGGGCCCGGAGGATGCCTCTGGTTGCTCTCCGGGGAGGTTGGCCAGAAGGGCCAGGCTGGGAGGCTCCTGACAGGGCCAGCTGGATCATGCCCTGGGAGACCAGGCTGGCAAAGTTGCTGGTGAGGTTGGATCCTGCGGGCAGGGCACCAAGCAGGAGCTCCGGCAGTGTACTCTCGTCACGGCTGGCTGGGGAGGTCTGGGGCTCAGCCCCCGGTGGGGAATGGTACACCAAGCTGGGCATTCCAATGCTGGTATCGTCCTCATCATCCAGGCCAGCAGGATCCACAATGGAAGGGAAGTCTGGAAGGTCTCTGGCAAAGGATTCCTCTGGATCACTGTGACCATCTAGGTCTGAGAGCACAGAAGGGAGTCTGAGACATAGCAACTACCTGGCCCCACCCCACCAAGTCAGCCCCATGTAACCACATTTTTCCACCCTGGATATCAAAGGGTGAAGCAAAACCCATGGCACTGGTCAGCTTTCCCCCTCTACTTAGACTGCTGAGTCCTCTCCTGGCCAGGGAGCCCCCTCCCCCTCTTCTCCCACTGTGCTCCCCATGAGCCCACAACCTGAGGAAACGGAGGAACTGAGGATCCCAAGGAGAGCAGCTGTAGCCATACCCCTAAGGCTGCTCTGCCACCTGATCCACTCCTCAGAAAACAGGAGAGGAGAGGGCAGTGTCCCTTCTGTCCAAGGAAGCTGAAAGGCGGTAAGTCAGACCATTATCAGGTCAGGCGCCTCACCTTCAGAGCCTTCTGTTAGAGGTGTTTGGCCCCGTGAGAGATTGAACGTGCCATTGTCTGTGTAGGAGACCTCAGCATCCGAGTGCTCCGAGTCTGTGATGGCCAGTTCCCTGGCAACAATAGAATCATCCAGCTGAGGAAAGAAAAGACAGACAAGCCTGAAGAGGTGATGCCAGCAAGGACAGATGCAATAAATTAAAATTTTTTTAAGTTTAAAAAAAAAGAACAGATGCAGAACAGCTTCACTAATTACTGGCCCTGAAGACTACCCTAAGGCCAGATACCAGGTGTGGATGGGGACTTCTGTCAAAATCTGACCATTTTTAGGCTGCTCCCCAAGGAAAACACCCTTATTCATCCATCTAGAGCACAGGAAGGAAAGCAGTCTTAGGAGTCAACCAGCCACTTACTCTTAAGCAATGTGATCCAGAAAACACTTTTCACAGGTGACCTGGAGGAATCACACACTGCCCAACCTAAGATGAGCAGGGCTCTTTAAAAGATGATCACACCAGTTCCAGAAGTTCTGCCACGATGGTAGGGGTTAAAGGGAGACATGAAAGAGGGTGTGCTGGTCACCAGGCTCAAACTGAGATCTATTTACAAAGTCACAAACTAGCACTAGCTTCTCTCCTCACAGGAGGGCAGTTATGCTCATGTCTGGGCAGTCATAAGGGTAAGGAGGGAGTGCCTGAGCCTATGAGCTTACTACCTACATGGAGGTGCCAGATGGTTAAAAGGGAGCTAAAAAAGACTGGCCAGCCCTGGCTCAGTCTTTGGTTGGGCATCATCCCACGTACTGGGAGGTTGGTGGTTCGATTCCTGGTCGGGGCAAAGGCCTCAGTTGCCGTTGCGGGCTCGCTCCCCAGTAGAGGGCGTGCAGGAAGCAGCCGATCAATGATTCTTATCATGATGTTTCTATCTCTCCTTCTCCCTTCCTCTGTAAAATCAATTAAAAATATATAAACAAATAAGTAACAAAAAGAAAATTATTTTTTAAATTTTTATTTTATTTTATTGATTTTCCACAGAGAGGAAGGGAGAGGGATAGAGAGCTAGAAATGTCGATGAGAGAGAAACATCGACCAACTGCCTCCTGCACACCCCCTACGGGGATATGCCCGCAACCAACGTACACGCCCTTGACCGGAATCAAACCTGGGACCTTTCAGTCCACAGACCGACGGTCTATTCACTGAGCCAAACCAGTTTCAGCAAAAAGAAAATTCTTTAAAAAAAGAAAAAAAAAAAAAGAAAAAGAAAACTGGCCGGTGGGACAGCTCCCGCATCCAGAGTACCTGAGGACAGAAGGCAGCAAGCTCTTCCTCACTGTCACTCCGGTCCAGGGCGCGGTCCGGGTGCAGAGCTCGGCGGCGCACTGTGTGGAAAGAGCAGAAGGCCTGGGCACCTTCCCTTGAAGGGGAAACCCCTGCCCTCTTTGAGCTTCGAAGGCATAAAATGAGAACATAAGATAACCCATGCATATAAGCATATCCAATGGGCACAGACACGAGGGGGGTGAGAGCATGTGCTGGGGGGCTGGGTGTAGCCGGGGAGAGATCAATGGTGGAAAGAAGACATATGTAATACTATATGTAATACTTAAAATAATAATTTTTTTTTAAAAGAGAGAGAGAACCCAACCTCTCTGAATGTGGCCTGAAGCCTACCCAACAGTGCCTGGGGGTGAGCTGCAGAGCCTAAGTGGACAGAAAGGTAAGTTGAAAGCACAGGAGAAAAAGATCTTTCTTCCAACAGCTCTCCATCAGCCCCTCTTCAGGTGATCAACTACCAGGCTTGTCAACAGCTCTCAGGACCAGCGGGGGAAGCAGATACAGAAGGCAAAGGGAGATGGCCAGCTTGGTGCGGCCAGGCCTTTGAGGACTGATACTATTCCCCTGGCTGCCCAGCGGGAGCAGGGCCTTGGTGACCAAATGCAGGGCTAGTGGAGGCCAGGCTTCATGAACCCCTAACCTATGCGGCCCCAGGAGGAAAAGTCCACACAGCCGTTGTCACTGAGCTGGGGAACCTCCGGCTGGAACTCTCTGGCTGCTGAGACAGTCGTTCTGAACATCTTTGGAAGACAGCTCTCAACAGTGAAAAAAGGCACAACGTGAGGGTTTAAAAGAACTTCTCTGCCTTTTACTAACTGCGAGCTTCAGTTTCCTCAACTGGAAAAGGAAGCTAATACCACCCTCTGCTCACGGTTGTAAAGGTTAAATAAAATAATGTATGGAGAGCAGCCAGCACAATGCTTGGGCACAAGAAAAAAGCTTCATAAAAAGCAGCCAACACTAGGGATTATCTTCACTGTCTTTTATTCAACACAGGAGAGCTTTCCTCAGATTTGTTTAAAAAAAGAGTATCTTGAATTCCAAGTGGAAAAAATTGGTAAGCCTGCATAGATTTTCCTGGAATAGAATATCGCTTTTACCTGCCACCCCCCACACACCAACCGCATCCCGCTTTTCCCACTTTCGAGGACCTACCCATTATGTCAGATCTGTGGGCTTTCCTTCTCTCCCCCAAACTGCCCACGTGGAAGGAAGCCTCCCCCTTACACTCACGTTGTCTCTCTCTCTGCTTGGACATCATGTAGCCGCGGACACTGAAGTCCAGCCGCTGCAGAGCTGGCTTCAGCCGTACACAGGCCCGATCCCACAGTCGGTGGTACATGGCAAGGGGCCACATCATCATCATGACAACTGAGAGGAATGGGAAATAGTGGTAAAATGGAGAGGGAGTGCACAAAACAGTCCTACCTGTCCCTCTGCTATTGTGTCCTAAGGGGTTCAGACACTTAGTATAAAACAGTTATGCTTAATTCTGCTGGCCATCTTCACTAGTCTCCCCAAGTACGTGAGGGGGTTCTGTTGGAAGGCAGACACATTTACAGCCATCTACAGAGCTGATATATTGAGGGCAGAATGAGGTGTGTGGTCACTTGCACATGGTTATCACTGGGCCATAAATAAGGCCAAAGGGTAACAATGTCTCAGAAGCTACATAACAAATCACATGAGCTTCTGATAAGGACCACAAACAGCAGCATTCATGCCAACAGGAAGTAACTAAATTTATAAAATTTAGTGCTATGGGGGGAAAAAGTGATCTAGGGTAAACAGAACCTAGTAGAGGATCCCCTAAGAGTTAAGTTCTGCCAAAACCAGTTTGGCTCAGCGGTAGAGCGTCGGTCTGTAGACTGAAAGGTCCCAGGTTTGATTCCGGTCAAGGGCATGTACATTGGTTGCAGGCACATCCCCAGTAGGGGGTGTGCAAAAGGCAGCTGGTCGATGTTTCTCTCATCTATGTTTCTAGCTATCTCTCTCCCTTTCTCTCTGTAAGAAAATCAATAAAATATATATTTTTTTTAAAAAAAGAGTTAAGTTCTGCTGTTACATAATACACTGTAAAAATCCTCTCCTTAAATAGGGACAGTCCTTTATAGTTGTTAATACAATATATGATAGTAAACACTCAATTTCTAAAACAGAGTTCTAAGATAAGGACTTTGTATGTGGGGAGCCTGCTAAAAGGGCAAGAAGACCCTTTCAGGAACTAAACAAATCATGGAAAAAGATAATTTCCTAGAGAATCAAAATATAAAAGGCCTCCCAGAGTTAGCTGAGGCTGGAAAAGCTCTGAGCAGATAAGCTCCCAGGGGGAGGGATAGGCCATACTTACGCATTAAATAGGACAGCAGGAGCCCTGGGACGCAGCGGCCCAAGACAGCCAAGAAGGTCAGAATCCCACAGCTCAGCAAGCAGAACTGGGGGGTCAGGAAACAGCGTTAGGTTTCTGCTACATGGCAGGGGACTAGGTGAGAATGGGAGGTAAGGTAGAGATGTGACTGAAATAATTCTTTATGGCCTATGAGTACAGCATGGACACATTGGAATGACACATGTACCCAGCCACTTTGCATCCAATTTGAATCTCTTTGGAGGAAAAGAGGATGTCCCTTCTATTCAACTCCTCTGATGTAGGTGGCCCCACTGAGCTGCACCTTTCATGCTGAGAAGCTGGTTTGAATAGGATTTAGCCAAATATTCTCTCTGAAGCATGTGTCGGTGGTGTTTTTTTTTTTTTTTTTTAAGTCAAATTAAAAATAAAATAAAAAACAACAACCTGTCACATGTTTAAGATGACACAGAATACATACAAGCAAGCTTTCTTTCTCATCTTGGAAGAGAAAGGTGGCCTAATCTAAGTGGCAAGCACCCAGAGGAGGAGTCAAGCTCTGCTTTAGTCTTAGTGGCTGGTCAGAAGCCCTTTCCTGTAACTCCCCTTTGTCGCTATAAAACTCTTGATCTTTTCTTTCTTGAATGAGAATATGTAGTAAAGAATTTTTTTTTTTTTTTTTTTTTTTTCAGTTTAGCGTGAACTGAACTGAGTAGCTAGACACAGAAGTGAAAAAGGAAAGCATCTTACCTTGCCTGGGTTTTGCTTTTTGAAAAGCAAAAGATTCCTTATGAAAACGGTCCCACTGACCCAGAATTCGGCTACGTGGTGACAGAGCTCAGGCACGCTGAGCAACCGAGGGTGCACAAAGCCCCAGCTACGGAGAGAGGAGGGGGGCTGTGAGAGGAGAGTGGTGAGGATGCCCCCCATCGTGCTGTTCAGGAAGCCAATGCTTCCGGGTTTAAACAGGGGCCAGGGTGTGGCTGTCCTAGGTGCTTTGAAGGTGAAGCGTGACTTTCTTCTCGGCTCACCAGGTTCAAACCTGAATTTAGGGACTACAAGGGCAAACCTGTTCTGACAACTCCACCCTATGAGCAGGCAGCCCAATGCTCATGTGTAAACCTGCCACCAGTTCCGAGGCCCTTTGTGCTTAGAAACATCATCCCTGCACTCAGCCATTGCAATTCACTGTGATTGCAATCCAGGGATAAAAGTAAGGCATTCTGACACCACTGCTGCTGAGGGAGGCGACGGTGGACATTCCTCTCAGGGAGAAAACAAGCAAAACCAGAAATAAACCACAGCGGAGAAAATTACTGAGATCACACAGATGGGATGAGTGAGCTGAAAAATGAAAGCAGGAGCTATAAGACACAAGAGGGATCTTTGACTTGCTGATGCCAGGAACCGATGTGTTTTCTGACCAGGAAATTTTAAACAGCTAGAGGTCACGTGGAAACGACCTGGTATAATACCAAGAGACAAATGAAGTGGCCTCCAGGTTTTCTCACTAGGACTGGATAATGCAGCTAATTCCCTGGCATGTCAAGTTATGGGGAACTGTAATGCTGCTTCTTCAGAAACTTCTCTTGTAAATATCAGAAGACACTAGCCATTTCAACAAACTTCTGCCTGAACTTTAGGATCTGTTAAAATGATTGCTTGGAACAACCTAGTAGGTTCTCAGCTTACAGCTGTCCAGAACATGGGTTAACAATAACATATAACCAGAATATTACAAAAAGAGAATCAATCAGAGCAATAAAAAGGGATTTAATTAGTATTCCATACCTCTCATTGTCTAATGCGTCGGGTCTTGACACTACAATATTAAAACAAACACCAGCATTAGTTGGTAGGGAAAACTAAACACGAAAATGTTAGGCTGTTGGTCTGACTGCTCAAGTTTTAATAGGTTTGGGGGGAAAGATAAAAGGAGACACTATGTTATACTGCCAGAGTTAGGAAGCTGCCAGCAAGGAAATGATGCCTAATGCTTGTTCATTTCTCCAGCAGAGTGGTGTGTGGGGGGAGGGAGGTTAGGAGGATCCAAATGGAGCCTCAGGGCCCCTTCTCATTACTGAAGCTGAGAGCCAAGGTATACATAAACATATAGTCCATCCACCCCTCAAGTGTATCTGGTTTGTGGAAACACATCAATGGTTACAAAGCACGTTATAACTACTCCAACACTAGAAATCTGCCTGTTCTTTTAAAAGAGAGACCCTTTAACTACAATGAATGATATAAAGTCTTTTGACATGATTCCTTGAAGTCTCTGCACACAGAAAGGGAGTATATTTAAAAGCTGTACGCTCTGGCCTGGCCCAGGTGGCTCAGTGTTGACCTATGAGCCATGCGGTCATGGTTCAATTCTGGGTCAGGGCACAGGACAGGGTTGCGGGCTCGATCCCCAGAATGGGGTGTGCGGGAGGCAGCTGATCAATGATTCTCAGTCTTTAATGCTTTTATACCTCTCTCCCTTTCTCTCTGAAATCAGAATATATTTTAAAATAAATTTTAAAATTCCTGAGAGGCAAATTAACACTGCCTTAGTAAAGGCATAGTATCCGATGAAGTGAATTGTTTTTTAAAAACTTGAGGACTATTTGAGGATTACTTATTCCTCAGTTATGAGGGCAAGAATCTCTCAGGCGACATACAATTTTCTGAGCTCAACAATGAGAAGGGCAGAACTCAGTTCTAAGAAATTATATGCAGATGGAGAAAGGTCTCCTAAAGCAAATAATTCCAACATCAAAAGATATTCCCAGTTCCACATACTCCCTTATAAACCCCCAAAACTAAAGGTAAAAATTATAGAAAAGAAGTTCAGGGTGTTCTAAATGCTAAAAACGTACCTTTTATTTCAGGCCAGATTTTGTTCTTCCATTGATCTATACACACTATGATCATTGAGCTGAATGCAAGCAAAAATACAAAACGAAGGGATGTCAGTGCAAAGAACCTAGAGAGAAGGAAAAACAAAAGATCATTATTCAATTAAGCTAATTTTAGAAAAGAGCATTTGTGCCTAAAGGCTCTATAGTAAATAGACTTAGGTCATAGTTACTTATCTCAATATATCTTAATTCATCCTTGATAACAAGTTGTCAAACATCTTTCTACCAAATTAGACCCAAGGATAGGACAAAAAACTGGTAGAGATATATTAAAGAGTTCTTTATTCAATTACATATCCTTTGGGAAATGAGGTTGAATTGTCAAGGTCACACAGAATGCACTGAAGCTACTTCTAAAAGCTAGTTCTTCAGAATTAACACCAATCTGTCTGAAAATCCAAAAATTAAAGAGGGGACACTTTTTGATTCATTTTATTAAGCCATTACTCTAACACTAACGCCAAATGACATTACAAGAAAACTACAGATCAATATCCTTTATGAATATAGATGAAAAATACTTAGTAAGACACTGAAAAACTGAATTCAGCAGCATATTAGAAGTATGCATCATGAACAATTCTTATGATTTATTCCAGGAATGCACGGATGGTTCGACATACAAAAATTAATATAATTATCATATTAACAGAATGAAGGTTATCTAGTTATTTGAAGGAATCAATTATAGATATTTATAAACAATCTGAGAAATCTGAACATTGACTGCACATCTGAATATATGGAATTGTCAATTGTTTTAGGTGTGATGTTATGGAAGTTATAATTTTAAAGTCCCTATATTTTAGAGATATTTACTAAAAAACTTATGAATGGAATGATATGCCTGGGTTTTATGTCAAAACAATAGCTTGGCAAGGGTGTGAAAGAAGATAAAAGATTGACTACGAGTTGATAACTGCTGAAGCTGAGTGATAGTACAAGGGATTCTTTATTTGCACTATTATCTCTACCCCTGCATACATGAAAAATTTTTCACAATAAAATACTTATTAAAAACCCTAACACCTCCAAGGTAATGCCTTGAAGAGTATGTATAGTTCAAGGCTGATTTCACCAGTCTGTGGGGGAAATAAGCATAGAAATTGAAAGTAAGCACTTAGAAATTTGTAGAGCAATTTGACCTAGTAATTTTGAATCTAAGAATACATTTGGTTTGTATTGCTTATGCCTTTTTAAACTAAATTTGTCTAGTAAATCATTTGTTTTGTATTTTACAAAAGTATTGATTTGCAACAGATCAGGAAAAACAATACTCATCCTTACCACAGAAGATGATTTGAGAAACACTGTTCTAAGATTGAGGGAGAAGCCAAATATATCACCAGATTGGTGATTCAGTAGTGCAATTAGGCATTTAAAAAAATATATATATATTATTGATTTTTTTACAAAGAGGAAAGGAGAGGGACAGAGTTAGAAACATAGATGAGAAACATCAATCAGCTGCCTCCTGTACACCCTCTACTGGGGATAGAGCCTGCAATTTGGCATGTGCCCTTGATCGGAATAGAATCCAGGACCCTTCAGTCCACAGGCCAATGCTCTATCCACTGAGCAAAACAAGCTAGGGTGGGGCATTGCTTAGAAGAAAAAAAAATAGCTGAAACTGGTTTGGCTCAGCGATAGAACGTTGGTCTGCAGACTCAAAGGTCCCAGGTTCGATTCCGGTCAAGGGCATGTACATTGGTTGCGGGCACATCCCCAGTAGGGGGTTGCAAGAGGCAGCTGGTCGATGTTTCTCTCTCATCGATGTTTCTAGCTCTCTCTCTCCCTTCCTCTCTGTAAGAAAATCAATAAAATATATTTTAAAAAAATAGATGTTTTTATTGATTTTTAGAGAGATAAGGGAAAGGGAGAGAGACAGAAACATCAATGATGAGAGAGAATCATTGATTGGCTATTTCCTACATACCCTCTACTGGGGATTGAGCCCACAACCCAGGCATGTGCCCTGACCTGGTTCATGGGTCAACAACATTCAACCAACTGAGCCACACCATGGGTAGGCATGGCTTTTAAAGTTAGATTGGCTTGAATGGACCCAGTCCAAATCTTTCTCTCTCTCTGGAGCATTCTTTGCCTTCTCCTCCCCCTCTCCTCGCCCCTCCTTATTTCCTAAGGCACGATCTTTGTTTTCTTTCTCCAAGGACCCTTCTTTTGCCTCAGTAACTTGTCTCCTGTGTCCACACAGTCCCGATGACTCAGTTTGCCTCTGTGACTTTCTTTCTAAAGTGCCAAGCCAGCTCCACTAATGCTCACTGCTGTTACTGTCTTGTCTCTTCTATCTTAAGCCCTTCCTTTAAGCTTTAGTAATCGTACTCTCAAGAAAGTTTTTAAAAAAAAATAGTTAGCCGGGACTGGTTTGGCTCAGTGGATAGAGCGTCGGCCTGCGAACTGAAAGGTCCCGGGTTCGATTCCAGTCAAGGGCATGTACCTTGGTTGTGGGCACATCCCCAGTAGGGGGTGTGCAAGAGGCAGCTGATCGATGATTCTCTCTCATCAATGTTTCTAACTCTCTATCCCTCTCTCTTCCTGTGAAAAATCAATAAAATATATTTTAAAAAGTAAAAATAAAAAATAAAGTTAGATTGCCTTGAATTTGATTCTCTGAACAGCCAGCCACTCTTAATTGTGTGACCTTGAATACTAGTAAATTAGCTTAACTTCACTAAGCCTCAGTTTCTTAATCTATATGTGACTTAGTAGTAAATCGTGCAGGATTGTTTGCAGGTATTAGAAACAACATACTTAATCATCAAGAAAAATATCATACTTATCCTGTTAAAAGAAGAAAATACAAGTCATTTAATAAACTGCAAAATTGAATAAAACTACTGAAGTGTTATTAGGTATTATTACAGCAATTGATCAAACATGGGTAAGGATTTCCAAGGGTTGGTTATAAATGACCACTTCTCAACTCAACATGACCTAATGACTTCACATAATCACAGAACAATACCAAGAGTACAATCCTTACCATATTTTTAAAAAAGCTTTATCTGTGTGTATATAATACACAAAAACATAGGGCTTGGCAGAGGAACTTTAATTTTTGTCTCTAGACATTTTTTAAAATTTCTTTATTGATTAAGGTATCACATATTTGTCCTCAAACCCCCACTAGCATTTTTGTACTTTGTTTTCAATAAGCATGAATCCATGTTATATAACTTTTAAATCTACACAAAGAATAAGGGATGGAATGAAACAAGAATTTAGAAACCCAGTCACAAGTGAAAACCTATTCCAATTTTTCCTCCCCACCACTGAAAGGATACTGTAATTATATATGAAATTAAACAACAAGGGCAGCTTAACAGAAACGAGCCCCTAGAGCTGCCCCAGGCCATTAATGTTCTCTCCAAAGCCAGTTCATCATCCCAACAAACAAGCAAACTTAACAAGGCCAAGGATAAGGGCTTCAGAGCTTCCCAGTGCTGCTGCTTCCGTGTCCCAGGAGCAAGAGTGGCGTGACTGCGGTTTTCTCCCGAGCACTTGAGGGCTCTCGGGAGGCCACCCAGACTGTCTGCCATCTCCACTTCCCAGGGCATAATTGCTAACACAAATAAAACAGAAGTAGGGAAGGATATTAAGCTCTCTTAAGAAAGGTCAGTTTTCCAAAGATGATGGCAATGAAAACACTTTCTCCAAGACCTGAACTATTTTAGTTGTCTGTTACAACTTAATTCCATAAACATTGGAGTGCCTATTACATGTCAATGCCTAGTAAGCAGCCCAGTTATGGAAAAGAATAAGGCGTGGACCTTACTCTCAAGTGTGTCTATGAGTCTGTGTATGTTTGCAACATAACATGATATGGTAATAACAAAGAAGTGGACATCTAAGTGGGCTTTGAAAGACAAATGGTAAGAAAACATGGCCAGCCGAAACCGGTTTGGCTCAGTGGATAGAGCATTGGCCTGCGGACTGAAAGGTCCCGGATTCAGTTCCGGTCAAGGGCATGTGCCTTGGTTGCGAGCACATCCCCAGTAGGGGTTGTGCAAGAGGCAACTGATTGATGTCTCTCTCTCATCGATGTTTCTAACACTCTATCCCTTCTCTTCCTTTCTGTAAAAAATCAATAAAATATATTTTTTTAAAAAAGAAAAGAAAAGAAAAGAAAAGAAAAGAAAAGAAAAGAAAAGAAAGGAAGGAAGGAAGGAAGGAAGGAAGGAAGGAAGGAAGGAAGGAAGGAAGGAAGGAAGGAAGGAAGGAAGGAAGGGAGGGAGGGAGGAAGGGAAAACATGGCCAAAGGATGTAGGGAAGGAGATGACAGATAGGGAGAACAATCAGGTCACATGACATATTTAAGACAAGTAGTTTGACAGAACTGAAACTTAGAGAACAGAGGAAACCCAGCTGGCGTGGCTCAGTGGTTGAGCTTTGACATATGTACCAGGAGGTCACAATTTGATTCCCAGTCAGGGCATATGCCTGGGCTGCAGGCTGGATCCGCAATGCCAATGTGGGGCCTACAGGAGGCAGCCAATCAATGATTCTCTCTCATCATTGATGTTTCTATTTCTCCCTCCCTCTCTCTTCCTCTCTGAAATCAATAAGAAATACATATTTTAAAAATAATAAAAAGAAAAGAGAGCCGAAACCAGTTTGGCTCAGTGGATAGAGCGTCAGTCTGTAGACTGAAGGGTCCCGGGTTCGATTCCGGTCAAGGGCATATACATTGGTTGTGGGCACATCCCCAGTGGGGGGTGTGCAGGAGGCAGCTGGTTGATGTTTCTCTCTCATCGATGTTTCTAACTCTCTATCCCTCTCCTTTCCTCTCTGTAAAAAAATCAATAAAATATATTTTTTTTAAAAAAAGAAAAAAGAAAAAAAGAACAAAGAGGGAATGAGTACAAGGAGAGAGGTGGAGGTGGGAGTTATTTCATGGGCCTTTTATGACAAAGGGTATTGGATTTTGAAGGTAAATTAGTATACAGTTTTACAAAGAGTATATTTTCTGGGTCATGAAGGCTAACATCTTTCTGAGCGAGATTAAATTCTGGTCCATAAGTCCATTTTAGGACCAGATGTATCC